TACTTTTTAGTGTACTGTTTTTTTTGAGAATATTTTGTTTTTGGTGTATTTTGTTTTGTTTTTAGTGCATTTTGTTTTGTTTTTTTCTTAACGGTTCCATCTGTTACCTTAGATAGTGGAACTAAAACATGGAACGGATAAAACCTTTGATTTACACGTGGGAACAGAGAGGGGTGACGGTTGGGAATAATGCTGTATTTGTTTCTATTTATTTTGAGAGAATGAGAGGAATGCATAGTTAAATGCTTTATTTTGACTGCGAGCTCATACTCGCGGAATTTTAAAAAAGAAATTAATAGATCCATTGCGTAGGGCCTATTTATTACCTTCATGGCCAAGAATGTTTGGATAAAGGTTTTTGAAGTACTTAAACGATACAGGTATAAAAATAAACTCTGTTGGTAAATCATCTTCATTTATTTTACTTTCTTTTAAATTACTACTCACTTTTTATTGCACCTTATGTACATTTTGAAATTTAAATCGTAATTTTTAAAACATAAAGCTATTTACACATCCCATAACATTATTTCAGGACACAAGTGAAGTCTAGAATCGTGTGATCTAAGCCATAGAGCGGATAATCCAATCCCTAAAGGCGCTGACTCTCACGAACATGTCGGGCGCGTCGCGTGCGCACGGCAGCCCCCACGACACGATGCCAATCTGTCTACCATTGTTCTCATTGACTAGAGCACTGCCACTGTCACCCTGAAAACAAAAGAACCTTAGCAAAAGTATTACAACGGTTATTACGGCCGAATACTAAATCGACATACATGTAGCATCGCCTTAAATTAAGGCCATGCTTAACAAATTCTATTATTTAATTTCTATTACATGATAAGCGGTTTTTACGAATAGAAGTATTCAATATTCGCTTCAGTATTTTGCTGTTAATTTTTAAAGTGAGGAATAGAAACAATTAATTAAGCGGTAGTGTTGAACTTCCGGTCAGGTTTAAAATGATTCTTAGGGCCTGACCCACCAAATTGTTAAATCTCTTATAGCAATCGAACGTGTAAAATATGTGAAAGAAATATCAGATTTTGTTCCCTTAACTGACAGTAAAGTCATTTTTAAACTATCTGATCTTTTATCAGCCAGCACAAATTACACGAAAAGTCAGAGGTATAACGTTTGTATATCACTATAACTACCAAGATACAAGCTATTACGTGAAAACATGATTGTATACTGACATTGCACATGCCGTGGTTAGCGGAGTGGAAGGTGCAGAGTTCGATGTGAGGTTCGACGGCGGGCGCTCTGATGTTGAGTTGAACGGCGCGCTGCGCGACTTCCCGAATGCATTGCTGACCATCTATCGTCGTCACTATCAGCTGCAGTAGGGCTGCTGATAGGGAACCGTTTTGCTGCAAAATATCACCAAATTATATATGGCCAATAGGTGTATTTTTGTAAATCCCTAAGATGCTGTTGGGACAAATACGAACTGAAAGGCATCTCAGACGTTAAAGTCTTTTCGCTCTTCTCTGTCTTAAGTTTAGATTACAGTTCTCAAAAATAGGCATAGTTAAGGGATGTTGGCATATGTCGAAAGATGGCTCTCATCTCAGTCAGGCAGTTAAGTTTTAATAAATTTAAAAAAAATTTAAGACTTACCCTGATTCTTCCCCAGCCGGCGGCTTTAGACCTGACACCAGCGCCGATGTGATCATAACTGAGGACCACAGGCTGCACGAGGTTAGTAAACGCCACGTTGGATGACGTCACCAGGATTCCGATGTCGTTTTTGATCGTTCTAGACACGTAGTTGGGGTGGGTCACGTTTCGCGACAGGCTGTATGATTGGCCGCCGGAGTTCCAGCGGTTCGTACCCACTGTCACACGGAGGGAGCTGAAAATTAAATTAACATTCTGTTAATATTTGTTGATCTGGTCACTTGAACTTTCAATGCCATCACAATGTTCAGATAATTTCTCAGGGGCAGTTGCTCCTCTCTAGCGACGCCCGCCGTATAAATCGTTTAATATCCGACCTGCTAAGTGCACCGCGTGAGAAGACCGCTTCTATGCAATGGGCTGCGGTAAGCACATGTCTCGCGCTGATCAATGACCCTCCGCAGAGGAAGCTGCGGACCAGCAGACCATTGGACATGGCTACCATGTAGGGCACGCTACCCACCGGCGCCTGGCTGCCTCCCACTATACGCGCGTTAGGGTCCGCGTGGATGAAGAAGTCGGAGAACTCATGTTGCGGTGTTGGCACAGCTGGAAGAAAGCACAAATATTTTAGCTTTTGAGATCTATACTAATAGATAAGACTAAGCTTTATTTATGTCTATTAGTTTATTTGGGCAGATTGGTAAAGATGCCAACAGAGAACTCGATGCCAGAAACATTGTTAAGTGATGAAAATAACTAGCTGTTGCTTGTGACTTCGACCCTGTGAAAAAAAAATAAAGCCTATGTTACTGACAGATAGACTACCTTTCTAACGATGAAAACATTTTTGTAAACCGCCCAGTAGCCTTCGAGTTATTTCAATAAAGTTATAACTGTACTATAGATCTATGATGTAAAAATCACTGCTGCTTTAAGTCGAGTACTCAAGTTCTTATGATAGCGAGATAAGGAACACGTCGCAAGCAGTTTATCTTTGTAATTGCTAAAGTTTATTCAATACAAGAAATCCACGTGACCAGTGTAATTACTTTGATTATATTGATATTTTTGATAAACTGAGACAGTAATCTACGCATAAATTTATCACTGAAAACTAGTTTTAGTAACAGTAACGAATTTCTAAACGACTGAACTTATTGTTTTTTTCAATAAAACCTAAGTTTTATTAAAATTCTCATATTTATAAATATGTATTAGGATTGCCTGGTATGACGTGTTCAAATGAATTGCTATGAAGCGGGTAATTTTTTTAACTAAACGCTTTGCATTTCCGAGAGCTTAGCCGTTTAAAGTATTGGGCTTTTTTGTGACTGAATGGCCACTGTTTGCCTTGAAGAGGCAATTACAGATTCACCGAGCTTGAGGTGGCCGAACGCAGATGGCGCTTAGCCTAAACCTCATTTATGAGTAACTAAGCTCAAGGGCTCCCTCAGGAGGAATTGTATGTTGTAATGGAATTTGTAAATTAGGTAGATTAAAACTTACCTAGACTGGTAGCTAGCAATGTTGCCAGTAGTGCTGCAACTTTGAACGCCATCTCTGATCCGCGACGCACGTTTGCTAAATGTACCGCCGTAACAAATATTTATAAGTTCGCCTGCAACTCTAATCTATGCCTTCGTATTGTGTCACTAATTAGTTGATGAAATTATTAGATTGATATCAGCTTACAGACGATAAAGAGTACAAAATCCTTATCACCGAAAACTTAAGATACATTACTTCGTAATTAAATTCTTTGCGACTTGTTAAATAAATTACTGGACAAAACTAGTAAATATAAATTAAAAACAATTAAATTGTTAGTAAATACATTATTTGTAAACAACGCACATTTACAAATTGTTAATGTTTTGTTGCAGCACTGAGAAATATAGATGAAAACCCTTAGCCTACTCGATTACTAAATCTATCCTATTGTTTCCGTGCTGACCAATTTAAGTTTCCGTCTGCAGTAATTTATTTTTGCTGTCTGCCCAATGTAATTAGTTGTGGTGTGAAAATCCATCTTTTGTCATTCGAAGCGACACATTCACATATCGGTCTATTCCTGTTAATAATCATAACACTAAAAGTTTGTGGTAAAATAAAAGCATTACATCATGAGGTCTTTAATTCCGTTTATTTTACATGTTGGACTGCAGCCAGTTGCGGTAGGCGCTAATTCGCACGAACATGTCCGGAGCGCCGCGCGCACACGGCAGTCCCCACGACACGATGCCGATCTGACGGTTGTTGCTACGAAGCACCAGTGGTCCGCCGCTGTCACCCTGAGAATTACCACAACGATTTAAGATACAGATAATATCGCTATTCCTATTAGTCCTATTAGGTCCCTATTCCTCCCCACTGAGGGGCTTTGAATTTCTTCGGCGATATATGCAGGCATCACGTTTTCCTTCGCCATAAGAACGTCGGGTAAATTATGTACATATGAAATAGCGTATGGCACCTTTATTTGCAGTGTTTACGGAGTGTAAGAATGATTCAATCAGGCGCCAAAATATCGACCCTATCAACCATTGTAACGCAATGTTAAGAACGAATCAACATAATCCAAATGGAAAGTGTTAGTTAAAAACATCGCAGATAAATGATTCAAATGGTTGCCGTTAGTGGTTATTGGACATATCTAAGTGTGGTAATTTGCGTAGCAGTCATCCGACGAAAACAGTTACACTTATAGTGGTGTAGAAGATTGCACTAACATGACAAGTGCCGTGGTTAACGGAGTGTAATGTGCAGATCTCGATGTGCGGCTGCACGGCGGGCGCGCGGATGTTGAACTGCGTCGCCAAGCGAGCAACGTCGGTGACGCAACGCGCGCCGTCGACTGTGTTCTTGTTCAGCTGCAGCAGCGTCGCCGAGCTCGCACCGCCTTGCTGAACACACAACGGACAACGTAAATTATGTGATTTACAGAATAACAACAATTATATAGAAACGCAACAGCGAGTCAAACGTGAATCAGTAACAAAGTCGTAATCTCATCGACAAAAAACAAAAGTCCTTAATTAACACTTTCTCAAATAAAATACAAATATTGTCGATGACGTTACGAATATGTTCACACAACTGTAGGCAATTCATAATAGACCCTGAGCTTTACACGAATACTTTTGTATTCAGGTAAGTAAATAATCCAACCATTATCTATTTTTATCTATTATTTTTACAAATAATCGTTGCAACTATTTTAATATTAATTGCCTTTAGTCAATTATTTATTTTTAACATTAATAAAAACTGTGTCAACAGTTCAAAATAAACAATAGATACTCACCCTAATCCTCCCCCAGCCGAACACGGTGGTGCCGGCATTGGCGCCGATGAAGTCGTAGTTGAGTGCGACGATTCTAACGGCGTTAGTAAGGGCGACATCTGCCGTGGTCACAAGCAGCCCGATGTCGTTCTTGATAAGTCCCGCCACGTAGTTGGGGTGTGTAATGTTGCGTGCAAGGTTGTAATGCGTGCCTCCGGAGTTCCAACGGTTGGTGCCGACTGTCGCGCGGAGAGAACTGGAAGAGTGGAAGAGACTTTCTAATTAGTACCTAGGAAACGAGATGTAATGTCACCTTATCAATCTTTTCTGACCCTAAAATTGATTTTGTATTAGGTAGATGAAGGAGTAAACGAGTGTATCGCCTGTAGTTAATTAATCCAACGCCCACGGACGACCAGAACACCAGAGAAACCATGCACGTGGGTGAGATACGTAGGCGAGTCTTTAAGGCCCATAGGAACTCTTGTTTGTAATTTGGGATCAACTTGACAGCAATTATTGATTTTCCCGGAGCATTTAGCTAGTTTAACTTGTTAAGTAAGGTCTGGTGTTTACCTGGTGAGTGAGCCCCCAGAGAAGACGGCGGCGATGCAGTGAGCGGCGGTGAGCACTCGGCGCCGAGCCACCAGCGAGCCGCCGCACAGGAACGACCGCGAGATCAGACCGCTAGATAGCGCCACCATATAAGGCACGCTGCCTGCGGTCGACCCGCCTACAATGCGGCCAGTAGGGTCCGAGTGACCGTACAACTGGCTCACCTCGGTTTCGGGCGTTGGCAAAGCTGAAATACGGATGAGTTAGTCATTAGTTAAAGAATTTAATTAAACATCTTAGGATCTAATAAGCTCCGCAGAGTATGCAGCTGCAAAAAACATTGACGCGACTGGAGTGCCGTGTGCGCTGAAGTGTGTCTTTCCCACTGTAGGAGGATAGGCAATCGTCGCTCACCTCACAGTTGGAGTCCTTCAACTAATGTTAGAATGTTGCACTGATGGGCATTTAAAATTCCGGAAATTGTTGTATGCATTTTGTTATGATTGCAACATGTACTCACCCAAGCTCCCCACAAGGAGGGTAGCGAATAGAATCCCGACCGAGTACTTCATATTGCAGGCGCCGTGTGCGTGCGCATTTCCTATAACACTTTATATAACTTGCCACATATCTTACAAGAATAAAGATAGCCGAGATTAATTAAAATCGATTGCATTCAAATAGATAAAAATATAATTAAACTTAGATATAATTTTTAAAAATAGATATATGCTTTTGTATATCCTGTTACTAGCAATTTAATTTTAGTAGTACCAAATTAGATATGCTAAGACTAAGACTAAGACTTTTCTTAATGCTAAGACTTTTCTCGTCGAATTTAATCTTGGAGACTTTTTCTTTGTCAGAGGTTTCTCTCCATAGTAAGTTCACTTTGCCCTGGTCCCTACGAAGAGTCGGCACAGTATGTGCTGCTCTTCCTTACAATTCTATCAGCCGTCATATCTGAATTCATACCCTTCTTAAGCGTATCCACTTTCACACTTTCTTCGGCCTTCCTCTACTCTAGCCATCATTTAATTTTAATACTTTCTTGTTTATGTAAATCTAAAGGCTTGGCCAGCCTATTATTTTATTAATTTTATTGAATTAAATTCATTTACAAACTGTATAAACGGAAATTCAAGATTGTTTATCACAATAACCCAACTCGATCAATCAAAGCTATCTGATTATTATTATTGTTACTTACTGAGTTATTTTGAAACATTTACAGTAATTACTTCAAGGAATCCCGTATATTTTGATGTTAACATTTTTTAATCGATTTATAAAAACATTATAACATAACATTTACAACTTAGTACACTAAAGATGCCTGTTTCCACTAAACGAATAAACCTGATGGCAACATCGCAACTGCAAACAGGACTACTGAGATAGATTTGTTAGTGGAAAAGGCAGTTTTTGTTCTCTTTTTCATCCGTCTAATATTTATGACATACTAGCTTTCACCCGCGACTACGTCTGCGTGGAGTTAAAAAAAAGAAAAGTATGTAGCCTATGTGTTCTTCCTGACTATCCTCTATATCTATGCCAAATTTCATCGAGATCCGTTGTTTAGGCTACAAACTCTAACAAACATCCATCCATCTAAACTTTCGCATTTATAATATTAGTAAGATCTCACGAGTCCTGGTCATTTAATTGAGTTCTTATTCAGTACTTGTGTTAAAGCTTGTGGGTAATGTTAAGGAATTTCAAACACTCCGATAATTGATGTCGAAAGTAAATCGGTCGCTTATCAAAATAAATCCGAACATGTCGTAATGATAAGTTTTGATTTACATACTTAAATTATATGCTATTTGAGTGGATTGTTAATGGCTTTAGGATAGGCTATTAGACGATAAGGGTTTACTTTCGTAATAAAATACAAAGATAATTTTACCACTTTATTAAAATTAAACATTTCACATTTATGTAAACATTTATTTAAATAACACAGATCTTATTTTATAAATAAAAAAATTGGAATTACACAATGCCGTATTATTTCACTAACATCTTGTACTTACAGATAAGTATGCTCCAGTCAATAGATGGCGCTGTTACAAAAAATCTTTGTGCAAATACTGTTTTAATTGTTATGTTGCCACTGCTACAGCTATTGCCGTGTTCTATGGCTTTCGGGCTATCGAATTACCAAATCTACGGCCTACGGCCACGACATGTTTTTCTTCATTAGAATTCTATTTGAAATATAGCTATTGAATGAAAAAAAAAAAAAAACAAAAATTCTGATACAGTTCTTTGATATTAAAAAAGTAAA